ATCCTTTTTCCAGAGCAAGTTTTGACAATGAATAAATAAATTCAAGTTTGTTTCAGACGTTTGTGCAAAGCTACACAACAGCTATATGCACTAACTGTCTGTCAGAATTTCAAAATCTGATCTTTGCCAATTGTCAAATAGAAAGGCTTTTAGTTACATTTCTTAATAGTATATATTTATATTAGTAAGAAATGTAACTAAAAGCCTTTCTATTTGACAATTGGCAAAGATCAGATTTTGAAATTCTGACAGACAGTTAGTGCATATAGCTGTTGTGTAGCTTTGCACAAACGTCTGAAACAAACTTGAATTTATTTATTCATTGTCAAAACTTGCTCTGGAAAAAGGATTTTTTACTACAAAGAATGAACATTACTTGGACATGGATATAAATGACATTTTCAACTCCACAGTTTTGAAACTACAATTTTTTCTTTATAAAGACATTCAGTATAAGTTGGTCTACAGTGTTGATTTTTCACAGCACGATGAATGCAACATAATCTGTTCAGCATCACAAGACATCTCAAAAAGTCACTTTTTACAAATGGGGTTTCTCCTGTCTTATTTTGTACACCCAATTTATTACGTTCAGTGAGCAAATCAACACATTACAACTTGATATTGCTTATGTGGTTAGATTGTTTTTAAATGTTCCAGACTACCTCTTCTATTTTTATTTGACTTTTTTATCTTCCCTTTTTAACCTTAATTTGCAACTTAACCAGATTCAGATTGATGATAAGTCTGAATTATGTAATGTATTGAAAATTTTCTAATTTACTAATAATGTGTTAAAATGATAACTATAGAATAGAGTTTTCATTTTGTGAAGACAAAATGTTAGTAATTTTCTTCACTTTGGAGAAAATCATTCTTTGCCCTTCTTTTAACCAGTATTTTCCATTTTAAAGCCAAGAATTGATTGATTATGTTATTTGCATATGCAAGGTGAAACAATGTTTCGTGTGCAATAAATGCAGTTGATGTGGCTGTGATGATGATGATGGAATATCCATTGAAAGAAAGTTATCAAAAAAAGAGTATAAAGAAAACTAGAAGTGACAAAAGAAAAGCTTCTTTCTCCTTCAAAGCAAAAGCTTCTGTTACTTTTAACCTTGAAGATGATGATTTATGTATTAATAAAGCTCATCCTTTGTTCCCTTTACTAAAACATTCTCTAAAGGGTATTGTGTTATTTTTTGTTGCTGCTACTATTCAGTCTTTCTGGATATTTTTTGCACTGAAATATATAACATAATAATGTTTTGGGACAACAAGGGACCTATTGGTCCATTTTGGTTGTCTCATCCTCTAAACTAAACTATAGATAAATTTTAAAAAAATATTAAAACCAGCCCTTATCTTTCACATAGCTTTCTCTTAAACTCACTTAAATTACTGCCTCCACAAGTTTCTTGCCAAGTTTACATTGAAAATAGTAATCAATCCTCATCAAAAATATGGAACTTTGATAGTCAGTTTGGAAGTTATCGAAATCAGTGTTAATTTTTGTGCTGGCTTTGGACTCTAGATCCAAGTCAAAGTGATACAACAGTCAAAAGGGAAAATTGATTCTACCACATTTGATGATGTGAAGATTTACCATCACAATTTAGAGATTTTGGTCTGGTTAAATAATGAATTCATGACTAATTCAATAAATACATAAAATTTAGTATTGCAAGCAACATTTAGTATTGTCTTTTGCTAGCCATTGTAAGTGCTGTATAATACCCTTTGAATATATAGTATTTAACATATATGAATGCTTATAAATATACATTCATCCTTTGTGTATTAGTAATCTGTGAATCCTCCTTTGACATTACTGGAAGATATATTTTTAATTCCTGGACAAGTTCAATATTCTATATGAATGCAATGCCATGGCAGAGCAGGGTTTCAGAAATCTCATCCACCCATCACTTTCTAGCTCTTCCTCTGTTTCCCAAGAATTGGCTATTGTACACTTTTGCTACTGGTTTGTTGGGTTCTGTGTATGTTAGGTGGCCAAACCATCTGACTCTGGGCTTTTTAAGTTTTGTAGAAATGGCTTTCCTCTGACCATGCCTTTGATGACTTCATTTCTGATTTTGCCCTTTCATGTTTTGTTTATGGTCTTTATAGTTAGTTTCATTAAATCTTTTTGGTTCTAACTTGAAATAAATATGTAATTATCATCACATATGAAAATTTTTGTACTGCTGTAAATTTTCTATTTTGGCTCAACCACAAGATTATGAAAATATCACTAACAAAGAGAGCACTCAACAAACGATTCAGTGAATTCTAAATGATTATAGTTTTCTTGTGTATTGATTTATAACTATTTTCAAAACAGTTTGTTATACAGGGTTTTCTTCATTACTGTATATGTTAATAATATGAAAGCTCTTAATAATATCTTGTAATTTAAAAGTGGTACATTAACACATGATACTTAGTTGAAAAATGAAAGCTCTCTAACTGTTGAATGTTTACCTCCTTTTTTCTGTAACTTCACAACTCTATTGTAAAATATATAATTGGCTCTTGTAAATTGAAAGAATATAGGCATAAGTACAATTTGTGATTATTGACAGTGGAGAAGAGACTTGTAAGTACACTGCACAGTAAAGTAAGAACAGAGACTATTGCTTAGTAGGAGCACAGTTTGCTTTGAATGATAAAATAATAAAGACCACCATAATAAAAACAGTTTGTTTTGAATGATGAAGAGCTGTGATAATTACAAATTCATTTAGTTCTGGATCATGGAAGAGTTGAAGTATTTTATTAAGAGAACTGCTTTAAGTGATAGAAGAGGCTACACAAGGAGTGTAGTTTTTCTGAATAGTGGATCAATAGACTCACAAAGAGAATAGTTTATTTTGAATGCTGAGAGTAGGCCACAACAAAGAACTAGTTTGTCATGAACGGTGAAAGAGTTTAAACTTCTACTGGGATGACAGTTTGGTCTGAATGATAGGAGAGTAGAGATTTATACTTGGAGAAGAGTTTGTTGTGAGTAATGGAAGAAGCTACCACAGAAAGTAGTTTATTCCGAACATTGAAAGAGTAAAAACTACTACAATATATTTATTATTTGTTCTGAATGATGTAAGAGTTGAGACTCCTACAAAGAGGAAAGTTTAGAATGATGGATAAGGTAAGACTTCTATGATGAAAATTGTGAATGATAGAGTAGTAGTCTTCTACAAGAAGAACAGTTTGTTTTGAATGATGGAAGAGTAGTCTTCTAATAGGAGAACAATAGGTGCCCAGTGGCACAGCGGTATGTCTG